AGGTTTCGGGTGAAGCCGCTGTGAAACCTACCCCCACCCTATCATGTGATTTCCTGAGGTCAAATGGTCCAGAATGTGAGTGGGCGTTAAGGTGTCTGGGAAAGGATCTCAAAACTGGATTATAGATGGCAGACGGTTGGTGTCGTAAACCATCGCCTCTGTTCAAAGATGGTCGTTTACAGTGGACATAGATGGATTCTTTCAAACCGTGTCTTCTCTGTCCAAAATGTGAACATTGGCATCCTCAAAAGAGTGTCCTTTGTCAGCCGAGTCTTGTCCTGTCGAGGTGGCTCTTTATCGACAGTGACAATCGACTGTGATTGCTCCACATGTCATTTCGTGTTTGTGCAAGGCTGTTAAATATGGCATTTATTTTCTTATTCTTTACCAAATGCGAGATCCCGGTCCAGATTCTCTTACAAAAATAACAAAATGGAGGCCTGTCTTGTCAGAGGTGGCGCACACTGTTTGGTCAGGATGTGATTTTTGATGAGGGTCAACATCTGCTTCATATATAGCTCCACCTGCCTCGGTTGCCATTTCCTTTTATTTAGCAAAGAGCTGCACTTGATCCATTGTGTTTGCCGCGTCTCTTCAGCTCCACCTTTGTTAATATTCAGCCGGGTTCCAACCACTGCTTTGATGTTGACCGATCCTAATTAGTGTGGACTTTGCTTTCACTAGAACTGTTCTCAGTATGCATGTGTGTGAGTGGCTATGCATTTGACACACAGAGGCCAGGATATTAGACTATGCATTTTTATGCTTTGTCATGTATATTTCATAAGAGGGTAACGTTAATAATGTAATACCTTTCTGAATAATATATAAATATAATATATATATAATATGTGAATATAAATGAACGCACACGATAACGATGATAGTGATTATTATTATTTATATGTTTTTTCCATAATGATTGTTGTTATTAGTAGCTAATGTAAAAAAAAATCTCTTTCTTCTCTCGAGCTGTTAACTAATAGAAGTATCACACACACATACAGTCTCTCCTATCACACGCTAAATGTTCCCGGTTATTACCACATCCTAATGAGTTATCCAACTATCTTTGTTTTTTTATTTTTCTGTAAGTGCACTGTTTGTCCCCGTCTTGTCCTTTCCCCCCCTGTTCTATTGTTAGTGTGGTATTGAAACATGAAATTAGGCTCTTGGAGAAACTTGGAAGAATTCTAGAAATATAATCAGTGTCCTAAACTGAGCAAAAATGGATACTTTTGTTTCCATATATTCATTAAATCCATTACTACTGGTAACAAGTTCTGCTGACAGATTTCTTTTCTTCCAGTCACTTGTTAGTGTACTTCACAGATCAGACCTCATCGTTAGTCCAGAGGTTTGTAAGCCAGAAGTCAGAGATTGTGGAAAGGTTTAACACTAGCCAATTATTTTCAGGCTACTGTCGCTGACCACTATAACATACACCTGTTGATGAACTAATCATACGTTTCTCTTATGTGGTGATTATTAACTATTAATGCCACCGTTATCTGAAAACACAGCCGCTGATTAATGTCCCTGTGTGTGTGTGTATGTGTTTGTGTGTGTGTTTGTGTGTGTCAGTCGAAGCTGCTGTCATTATTTGCAGCCACTCCTACGCAGAACAATAAGCAGCATGGAAACCTCAGTGAGTCATAGCTTTCTCTAGGAGACTGAGCATCCATCAGTCTCGCTCTTCCCTTTTCTCTCATTTCTAAAGGTCGGTCCTGATGCCACTCAGCTGGCAATAAACTGCCTGCAAAACAAATCCAAACACATGAAAATATATCTGCACTTACCTACAGGCTAAAAAGTGTCTGGATATTTGTTACACACATTCTTTCTCTCAGAGCGTTTTCCAAGCAGCACTCTAGCATCCACACAAATATTAATGGTCTAGATAAAAAAGTTAGTAGAGCAAATTACATACTGGATACAATATGCATCCTGTTACACGGGACATATACAGACCACACATATAATGAAAATATACAATTTCAACATTTTCTTTACGAAGCGAATAAATCACGACTATAAATCTGAGCTTGAAGTTTGATCTTGGGGAACGCTAACTTTACCCCAAAGTGAAATACATTTTGACAAAATCCCAAAGTGGCAAACTGTTTTTGCCCAATATCTTTTCTGGTATTTTATAAGAAAACAACAACAAAAAAACAGAAATCCTGCCCTCACTCTCAGTTGGTCTCACAAATGTTAACTTTGCAGTTCAAAAGAAAATATACCAAAACTATATTTCTTTGCAGTTATAAGTATATTAAATGGTTTTTGCCATGTGGTTACGGCAACTTTTTTTTAGTAACTATGCACTGTGTGCACAATTATTAAAGTAAGAGTAATAAAACAACTCAGAATTTACATATAAACATTTCTGACATGTCAAAGAAAATCAGTGACCGATATAGCTACCCTCACAAGCCTTCCATTCATGGAGTCTGTCAGTTTCTTGATGTGTTGATGATCAACTTTTTGTGCAGCAGCAACCACAGCCTTCCAGACACTGTTCAGAGAAGTGTACTGTTTTCCTTTACTGTAAATCAATTGTTTAAGCAGGGCACACAGGTTCTCAATAGGGTTTAGGTCAGATGAGGAAGGGGGGCCATGTCATTATTTTTTCATCCTTAAGGCCTTTACTGGCTAAGCATGCAGTGGAGTACTTCGATGCATGCGATGGAGCATTGTCCTGCATAAAAGTACTAGTCTTCTTGAAAGATGCAGACTTTTTCCTGTACCACTGCTTGAAGAAAACTGGGAGTAAGTTTGATTATGAGGCCATCTTTAACCTGAAAAGGTCCAGCTAGCTCATCTTAATAAATATCAGCCCATACCAGTACCCCACCTCCACCTTGCTGGCGTCTGAGTCAAAGTGGAGCTCTGTGTCCTTTACTGATCCAGCCATAGGCCCAGCCATCTGGTCCATCAAGAGTCACTCTCATCTCATCAGTCCATAAAACCTTTGAAAAATCTGTCTTCAGATATTTCTTGGCCCATTTTTGATGTTTCAACTTGTGTGTTTTGTTCAGTGGTGGTGGGGTTTCAGCCTTCCTTACCTTGGCCACGTCTCTAAGCACTGAACACCTTGTACTTCTGGACACTCTGGGTAGGCTGCAGTTCTGGAATATGGCAGCACTATAGGATAATGGGTTCCTGATAGCTTCACTTTTGATTCTTCTCAAATCTTTGTTAGTTAATTTCCGTCTTTTTTTTCTCAATATGTTTCTTGCGACCCTGTTTGCTGTTTGCAACAAAACATTTGATGTGGTTACGCCCCAATATCTTAGCAGTTTCAAGACTGCTGCATCCCTCTGAAATACCTTTTAAATCTTTTTTTTGGCCCATTTTGCTTAAGGAAGAGAAGCTGCATAGAAATTACGCACACTTTTATGTAGAGTGTTGATCTTCCCAGGCCACGCCCTCACTCATTATGCAAATACACATCACCTGATATGCTTAAATCCAATAAGCACACAAGTTTATACAGCTTGAAAATTTGCATAAAAATTATGATATGGCCAAAATACTCACTTGCCTAATAATTGTGCACACAGTGTATTGATTCAACCACAACAGAATGAACTTTTGGGAATTTACTTATTTGGATGATTGAGCATGCATCAAGAAATATTTAGTGACATTTTTTATTAAAGTGCAGCCTAAGCTTTAAGCATGGTCATTAGCTTTGAAAGTGTGATATTAGATAAATTAGTTGATCTGATGATGGAGCTGGAGGAGAAGTTGTTACTAAACCCTGAATATATGTAAAATATATAGGCTGATGCTTTGGATGGTAGCAGAAGGACATTACCATCCACAACGTCTTGCCAGCAGCACAGCTAAAAATGAGCACTCAAGCAGAAAAAACTCAGAGTCCTAGAGCTCACTCGTGGTCTGCAAAGCGTAAATGCAGAATATTTTGGTGTTCCAGCGTTTTCTGCTTTGACAGGATCAAGCAGGAAATAAATGTAGTATTTTAGAACTACAGTTATGTATTTGGGAGCTGGACCAGACGTTTACAGAACAAATTTGTGCCTAGATTAAACCTTTCCCCTGCACACTGCACGAGCTAGAGCAAAATGTCAGGATTTCTCACAATCTAATTGGCAGATTGCCATGAAATGAGCACATTCATGCTACCAAGAAAGTGACCTTTCCTTTACTCCCACACTCAGGACAAACTTTACAATTTTTGGTCCCGCTGTTAGTTTAGTTCTAAAAATATCAAGATTGACAGTAGTATTTGTGTTACATGGAGCACTCTCATACTCTTGTTGTACTTGTTAAAAACCCAAACATAAAGCTTTGCTAGTGTTTTAATCTTTTAATTTTGTTCCCAAACAAATCAACTTTTGGGTGCTTATAATGGAGCATGATGGATAATGTAAATGATTAATGTCATCAGTGTCTTGAGCTCGAACAAATAGCATAGCATGGTTGTTTTGCTCAGTTGTACTGCATCCAGCATACACAGCCTGTGCTCTGCCTTAGGCTTCATATTATAGTCAGTGACAGGAGCTTTTCCTCAAAATACTTTCAACTGTGGCAGTCTAATCCTCTCCTGCACACTTTCATGTGGCGTTGTCATTCATGTTGACTTTTGAAGTTTTAACAAGACTGCTGTTCATGCGTGAAGCTCTGCCAACAGGTTTATGCTTCATCGGCTTTGATGGGGCTTGAGATGTGACAAATTTTGTTTTTTGGCCTGCTCTCCAGAAACCAGACAGTCAGACAGCAGGAAGCAGTTCAGAGGGCTTTAATTCAATGCTTTAGGGGGTCGGGAAGTTTAAAAAGCTGCATTCAGAATGTAAACGTCGCTCGGACTTACATATGAGGGAATGAATGAATTCGTAGCAGTCATGGAACCTGTATTCTTTTCTCTTTTTTCCCTCATTTTCTTTCCTTTTTTTAATGTAGAGCCTGTTTATATGAAATGTGCTACATAAATATATTGCTAATACATATGGTCTTACTTAATGTGTGTGTAGGACCTAGGCATGGAATCAACATCACTGGATGACGTGTTGTACCGCTACGCCAGCTTCAGAAACCTGGTTGATCCCATCACGCATGATCTGATTATCAGTCTGGCGCGATACGTACACTGCCCTAAGACGGTAGGACAAACACACACACACACACACACACACACACACACACACACACACACACACACACAGTGTAAATAAATGTTAATAAAACCTAGTACCTCCTACTGTAAAGGCTCCTGGGCATGCTAACATAAACACACACACTGTCACTGACTGATGCTATTTATTGCGTTGCTGCTATCAGATGATCTCCTGACTCATTTCTTTGATACTATTTGGTTACGGAAGTGCTCTAAAGTGGCTGTGTATTATATGTGCATCCTTGAGGGAACTACTGCTGCTTGTGTTTGTTCACTCATGTAGTCCAGTGTGTCACTGAAGGACAGAAAAGGAGAGGGAAAGAGAGCATGGCAGCAGCGACGCACAATGAATAATGCAAGAAAGAAGGAGTGATGGAGATGAAGATAGGAATTCAGAGGCCTGATGTGTCATTTCAGTACATTCTGTTGGGAAACACTGTTGCCCTGAAGCTGGCTGCGCTAAAAGTCTTTTTTCCAGCAAACACTGACTCCATTTCAATGTTGTCAGCCTATGATGATGCAGAAACATTACTGAAACGATTAACTAATTGGTAGAATCTATATGTGAGTGATTTGTGGCCATTAAATCCTGACCTTTCTAAAGCAGGCTTTGCACTTTAATTTGATGGGTTCGCTGTGAAAACAGAATGCTTGAGATGTGAAAAATAAGTATTGCATATCTGCACAACTTCCACAGAGAAAAGGCAAAGAAACACTAATGGCAAATATTTAGTGCAGACCTATTATTACCCAAGAGTCAATACATTTTTACCAGCTGTGCGTCATCATGGCAGAATTTGCTAATTACACTGGCAAGTGTGAGTGTGTATTAGTGATGGGTCGTTCACGAACGAAATGGCTCTTAGAGCCGACTCTTTGAAGTGAACGACGCGAGCCGGCTCCTTATTGTGAGCCGTGAGGTTTGTTTTTTTTTTCTTTCTCTCACCCTCTCTCTCGCCCTTTTTTCCGCTAAACTCCGCACGCGCGGCCTGTACTTTGCGCTGGGCAGAGGGGGGAGGGGCGTTAGTTACACTC